TTTTTTACTTTTCTTTTCTTCTAATTCCTTTCATCGCCAGTATAATTATTTGCACTTTCTTTCCTTCTTGTCTATTTCCTAACAACTTCGGACGGCTCCCCCTTGCTATATAACGGTTATTACACCGTCGTGTCTTTTGTTACTATACTTAGACACTCTCTTGGCTCTGGTCCTGCCCTATTTTAAAGGGTCTCTTCTCCGACCGATCTGCGAACATCTCCGGCTCAACCTCGTTCCACCCTCACGTCTCCGAGCGCCCCAATCGATCATCAGCTGCATCCTGGCGCTGTAGCAGTTCGGTCGCTCGGAGTCTCCGGTCTCGTTATCGCCGTTGTCCGGTACACGGTTTATCCCCCAGGTCACTCTGCATGCCTGTTTATACGCCTTTCCAAGTCGAGCTCCGAGAGTAATGCCGGTCCACTCGTGCGCATCCACCGAGCTTCACGTCAGCTCGCCCTGAATCAAGCGATTTCTATGGGAAGATCAACTGGACCGGAGAAGGAAATATATAGTACGGACGGGGCCATCAGACGGAACCCCAGGAAATAAGGCCTAGGAAGGGGAGGATGCCCAGTTGTAACTCGGAAAGAGTTCGCTGATTCAAAGACATGAAAATGGACCGTCCGCCTTCAGTTCCCGGTCTGGAGGAGCCCGTCATTCTGGCTGTCCGGAATGGCCAGACCTCAGACCATGTTCGCAGGCGGAGTTCGGACAAGTCCATCGAGGATTCTTCGTTACCGGCACCGATGGAGGCAGATATCAAGCAAACTGTCACCAAGCCACCGAATGCGAAGCTTCCCTTGCAGGGCGATTTCTCAGATGGGCAGACATCTCTTCGACACCCGTTTCCCCATCTGTACCATTCATCCAGTACATCCAGGTCACCCTCCACTCGTACTTCTTCGAGCTCGCTTCAGGCATTGAACGAGGACACCGTCGTCGATGCGCGGTCGGATCATAGCGCTATCGGCCGGAGCTCCATCTCTTCTCGGAGGGTCGCCCACATGGGCCCCTCTGAGACTCATTCCGCAGACTATCCCGTCTATCCCGACCAATCCTACGCCGTCCTTCAGTCCCAAATCCACCCCACCTACCAACCCCCGTTCCTACGCACCCGAAGCTCTTACCCGTCCCGGACTGAGGCGGCCAAATTTGCTCCGTCGCGTGCATCACGCACGGCGGGCAACACCCCCCTCTCCAGCCCGGGCCTTTTCTCCATTAGAAGTCCTCGCTCGACGCCTCCATTCGCGTCCGACGACGAAGGTCGCATCAGCAGTCCCTATCTCCATCCCACCCATCTCCAGCCTCCAAAAGAGTAAGTCCGACGTGCCACCGAGTGCACTAATATCCTCTATCCTGCCAAAAAACATTCGACTGTTTACTGACCATCTTGATGGTAGAACCCATACCGCTGAGGTGGATCGAGATCTTGTGACCGGAAACAAGCTCATCAACCAGTATGAGATCCTTGAGGAGCTCGGGCGCGGTGAACATGGAAAGGTGAAGCTCGGCCGCCATGTTACGACGCGACAAAAGGTTGCAATCAAGATCGTTCAGCGTTATTCAAAGCGTCGCCGCCTCGGAAAACTCGGTAACCCTGAGGATAAGGTCAAGAAAGAGGTTGCCATCCTGAAAAAGGCAAGGCACCCTAACGTCGTCAGTCTGTTAGAAGTCATCGATGATCCGAATCGCCAAAAGGTCTATATAGTCCTCGAGTATGTGGAGAACGGAGAAATCATCTGGCGCAAGCGTGGGCTGCGAGAGATCGTCCACGTCGATAAGCGCCGGCTGGAGCGTGAGAAGGCGGGCATTCCCGATACCCCGTCTTTCATGGAAGAAAGTCAACAGTACGTAAGGACAGCCCAGCACCTTCGTCGGCAGCGCGAGAAGGCACGTGAACGGCGCCAAGCACAGGCGGCATATGCACAAGAAGCTCCGATCCCTGCCTGGAGTCTGGAGCATGGTGCGGAGTCAGACGAAGAGGAGGATCTGGGGGGCGAGCCTATGGTTGCGCGTGTTCCCAGCCGGTCTATGGTGAGCACCGATGATGCCCACTCCTCTCCCAGTCAGTCTTATGTGTCGGGTCAGGAGTCGGCACTGGCTGCAGTAGAAGGCAGCATGTACGGCGCCTATGCAGACTATCCATTCGAAAGACGGTTCAGCACCGCATCAAGCAGCTTCGGCTATGCACCTTCCGAGCCGGAGTGGTTCACCGACGATGACGACATGTCCTATGTGCCTTGCTTGACTTTTAACGAAGCGCGCAATGCCTTTCGCGATTCGTTGCTAGGTTTGGAATATCTCCACTACCAAGGCATCATCCATCGCGACATTAAACCCGCAAATCTTCTGGTCACCAGCAACTATCGTGTGAAAATCTCAGATTTTGGTGTTTCGTACTTGGGACGCCCCATTCGAGACGAGGAAGAGGAGCAGGTGGAGGAGACGGATGCCACCGAGTTAGATGATGCTCGCGAGCTGTCTAAGACGGTCGGGACACCGGCTTTTTATGCCCCTGAGTTGTGCTATACAGGCGATGATTTCGTGGACGTGCTCGGCGCCGCCCCTCGGATCACCGGCGCTATTGATGTTTGGTCTCTGGGTGTTACCCTCTACGGCATGATCTTCGGGCGCCTACCATTCGTTTCCGATGACGAATACAGCATGTTCCAGACTATTGTGCGGAAGGAAGTCTTCATTCCCCGAAAGCGTTTACAGCCCGTGGAAGACGATCCCGACACCGTCAGTCAGTGGCCTCGCTACAGTGACGGCAGCAAACGGATGGAAGACGAGCTGGTGTACGAGGACATTGACGACGAATTGTATGATCTGCTAAAGCGGCTGCTGACCAAGGATCCGGTTAAACGGATCACCGTGAAGGAGATCAAACATCATCCTTGGGTTCTGCATGGCCTTCCTAACCCCAGAGCATGGGTGGAAGAGACGGACCCGGGATACCAAAGCAAGGGAAAAAGAATCGAAGTATCCACCGAAGAAGTGACTAGTGCTGTCAGCAAAGTACCGTTCATTCAGCGTGTGCGATCCAACGTTGCTAAGTGGTCTAACTATCTGACTGGAAGGTCGAAAGAGAAGGATGGGCGCAAGCGGACCCCTAGCAATTCTCCTTCGGTCGAGTCATCGTCAACTACAAGCAGCACTGCCTTTGGGAAGTACCTTTGGGACAATCGGCGGCACAGTCTTAGGGGGGATGAAGAATTTCCACGCTCTCTCCGCTTACCCAGGGAAGGCGAGCATCCGCTTTCGCAGAGTGTCACTGCAAGTCCCGTGGGCCGAGAAGATCAGCCGTCTTATTTCGCTTCGTCCGATTCCATGCCAGCGCAGGATCAATCTACGCGCCCAGATCCTCCCGAGCGCACAACATCCACATTGTCTACTGCTGAATCTGCCAAGACCGTGAAACCATCGGACCACAAAAGAGTGTCAGTACCCCAGCGTGCTGGTACCCCCGTCCGTGTGGAACCGTCTGGGACCACAAACATTGGTGGCCTTTTTGGTGGCGCGAGCCGTCGGCTTGCAAGAGGCCTGCAACCTGGGGATTGGCGGTCCGATCGGTCTGTCTCAGGCGAGACCGCGTCTTTGGACGGTGACCGCCACTCGGAGCCCAGCTTGGCTTTGAGTGTTGCCTCTGCTGTTGGTCAAATGCAGAATTGCAACTTGTTGTCGAACGAGGAGCCGCTCTTGACTCCTCCCGATGGCTCCCTTGGTAGAACATCCAGCCATCGGCGAAACCGATCCCACCAGCTTCCAGGCAAGCATTCCGCCGAGCCATTCCACCTAACCAAGGAGGCCTTGTTACGGAAGAGGAGGAGCGACCTCGGGCCCGTTGGTGATGCAGACAGCAATCGTGGCGACAGTGAGCCATGCTCCGGTGACTACACGGGCCTGCGGATTGAGAATCACCCGCAAGTCTCAGACTCGTCGAATGACCAGTCCTCTGGAGATCCTCTTTCAGGAGGGCTGACAACATCGCCGCCATCGGCAGCTACAATATCCTCGTCGTCAATTGACGAGTATACTAGCGGCATGTCCCAGAGCACTTCTCACCCCAGCATCCCGTCTGTGGTGTCGGGAGCGTCGTCTCTCTCTGGTGAGAGTGGTTTCAAGGAGAAGGATACCGAATCAGCCGTTCAGGTTCCTTCGATTCTCCGCACTGGTGAAACAGTCAAAGCCCGGCATCCCTGTCCTCCACGACCTGCAGAAGATGACGAGTGTCGCTACTATTGCGATGACGAAGAAGAGTCTGGTGACGACTCAGAAGATGAAGGACTTGTCATTGGCAAGAAGAGGGCAACCCCTCAGAAGCCGATCATCCGCCCTGGACAGTCGAAGTCATGATAACAATACACACATGTCCTTTCCGGGGTCTTTCGTCGTCATATAAGCAAGGGACATCAAAAGTTTCTTTCACCGTTACATGATGTTTGCATTTGCTTCTCCTTTACCGATCATGACGCTACTACCATCATATTATGACTTTTCTGGGTGGTTTGTCCAATCACCATGATCATTATCTTGTTGGAGTTTAATTTCTGCGTGTATATCATTTATTCAATCAGTGGGGGGATATTTTCCTTTTCTATTCGCTTCGCTTCTTCCCCCCCACATTCTTTTCTTCTTTCTGGCTGGTTGCGTCCCTTTTGCTGGCATACAGGAAACTTCCCTAGGGTTCCACATCTGTTGAGACACAGATACATTGCTTGTACATATATTTGCATTGGCGGCACGTTCATATTCGGTCCTCTTGATTCGTTTATCTTCATCCATTGGCTTGCATTCGGATGATGCTGGGGTTCATTCTGCGTCTATATACACTGGTCTGTTTGCTGCATTGGGCCTGGGGTCTGTGATTGCGTGTATGTAATGATGCTTGGAGGAAGGGTCAGGCTATACAATGTACCTGCCTTTCCCCTTTTTCTTTTTCTGGGCTTTGGATAGCTGGAGGCAGCGGGAGTAGGATTTTGCTTTGCGGAAGGGTTGCCATGGAAGGCCACGATGCTGATGACCAAGTCGCGAGAGATGATGAAGAGAACAACAATATACACAGAGAGAGAGAGAGACACTCACGTTCACGATCCACTTGGGTGCGCCAGTGCCTTTCTGCCGCACATGGGAAAAGCGGGTCACCGTTTAGCCTAGTGTGCCGATACTTTCTATACCGGGGGAAGCCGGATGAAAGGTGAAACCGGCCAAGCAGAACCACGAGTCCGTAGAAGCTTAGGGAGGAGGTCTGAGAGCGTCTCCTAAACTAGATTTGGGGTACACCGAGAAGTCGTCGTATGTGCCCATGTGGCTTGCAGGGAGTCTGGGCGACCATCTGACCTCGGAAGATGTGGGTTTACCGCAAGTTGAATCCGACTTTTCGCCTAAGTATGGAGACAGGGAGCCCACGGTACGGATGCTGAATGGGCTCGGGCGTGCCACCGGCCGATCTGCACAGACGGTGTCATGTTCCTCCACCAATGGCTCGGCAGATTGGAAACACTTGGTGTCTCGCGATGCATGATCTGACGCTGACTGCCGTCCTGCATTGATTAAATCGTGGAGAACTCCGGTGGTGTTTAATCTATATGGGCAGACGTTATCCTTTGCCTTCTCCGTGTCATTTGTAAGACGGACCCGGTGGACAATGAATGTCTCAAAGCGGCCAGTCGACGATGTCTTTTAAAAGGGGCTTTGATGCCGGGATGGACTGACTCGTACTGCTGGATCCAACCGTGAGAGTGATAACCGGGCTCATTACAGGCGAGCTTCGATGACAGCCATGATGATCTACCCTCTACTTCTTTCTGCATTGCCTCTGCTCAGCAGCGCCGCGCTGACCTACCGCGGGGCGGATATCTCCTCCCTTTTGATCGAGGAAGATGCTGGCATCAGCTATAAGAACTTGAATGGCGAGACCCAGGCATTGGAGGATATTCTGGTCAACAATGGTGTCAACTCGATCCGACAGAGGGTGTGGGTCGATCCCAGCGATGGCTCGTACGATCTCGACTATAACCTCAAGCTGGCCAAGCGTGTTCAGGCCGCGGGTATGAGTATTTACTTGGATCTGCATCTCAGTGATACGTGGGCAGACCCCAGTGATCAGGTCGGTTCTATTGCTGAAAGAAAAGACTGCGCAGGAAAAGAGTTGGAACACTAACATAAGAGATGTATATAGACTACCCCTACCGGTTGGTCGACTACGGACATCGACACACTCACCTGGCAGCTATACAACTACACGCTCGAAGTCTGCAACACCTTCGCGGAGAATGACATTGACGTCGAGATTGTCTCCATTGGCAACGAGATCAGCAGCGGCCTTCTTTGGCCACTGGGCAAGACCAGCAACTATGACAACATCGCGAAGCTTCTGCACTCAGGAGCCTGGGGAGTGAAGGACTCCGACCTGACCACGACCCCGAAGATTATGATCCACCTGGACAATGGATGGGACTGGGACGAGCAGGAATACTTTTACAAGACCGTCCTGGCTACGGGGTCACTGCTCTCCACGGATTTCGACCTCATGGGAGTCTCGTACTATCCGTTCTACAGCTCGGAAGCAACCCTGTCGGCGCTCAAGACCAGCCTTACGAACATGCAATCAAACTACGATAAGCCCGTCGTGGTGGTGGAGACGAACTGGCCCGTGTCGTGCCCGGACCCTGAGTATTCATTCCCGTCGGATCTCAGCTCGATCCCCTTTTCGGCTGCAGGCCAGGAGGAGTTCCTGGAGAAGCTGGCAGAAGTGGTAGAGGGCGTCACGGATGGACTGGGCATTTATTACTGGGAACCGGCATGGATCGACAATGCCGCCCTGGGTTCCAGCTGCGCGGATAACCTGATGGTGGATGTTAACACGGATGAGGTGTTGGAGAGTGTCACTGTGTTTGAGGACCTGTGATTTTCCTCGCTTTTCTGTTTGAGAGCACCAGGATGATGCATCTCAGCTATTGTGTATTGTATTAAGTAGTGATGTTCCAGCGTATGTGTGTGTGTGACTAGTAGTATATGTTAGTTAATAATTGATCAACAATCAGTCAGTTACTCAGTTCTACTCCCTGCATCACCTGTACAGTAGAGACAAGTTTCAGAACAAGACAAATAAACAAAACTAGATAGAAAGCACACCCATTAGGGAAATAACTAATGTAGATCGTATCAAGAAAGCGACACTACCGGGCCGCGCGCGCACAAACACCCACACACCGAAATGATGAAGCCTGCGGTTGAACCGTGGACCTGCAGGTTGAGAGGGGCAGCAGACAAGGTGGCTGTGCAAACCAGCGATCCAGTTGGGATCAGCGGTGTTTCAAGCTGCAAATGGTATGGTTTGGCCTACCTATGGATCTATCTAAATCAGGGCCAGGAAATTTAAACCCTGACAGCTCGTCCTGAGAAAGAGGGATCGCGTGTGTTGTGTGTGCAACCGAGATAGGGGGGAGGGGGGGGGGGGGGGGGGGGGGTTAAGGCTGACAGGTTCTTGCTGAAGAGAGAGAAAGTTAACTTAGTATCTGGATCTATCGGAAATAATAATCAATGATTATCGTAATACGAGAGGATCAGTGCGGGATATTTTGGCATATCACCCTTACTGTACTACGGAGTACTACTATTTGAAGTAAATGATCCTTGACAGGATGATGATGTTTTTCCGACCTGCATGACGCTGGGGGAGATAAGAACTCTCGGATACGGAGTAGTATTGATGGGTGTCTAATTAGGGCAATGAAGAGGGAATTCATCCTCGCTGCAGCCTTTCAGGTCATGATCCCAATCATACACCCTTGTCTTTTTATTTTTATCTTCTTTTTTTTTTTTTTTTAATTTTGATTCTTGTTGATCAACTAGATGAGAGTGAGATAGACAGGCTATTTTTAGTTATTTCATATCTCCTACCCGATTAGATCAGCCGGCCCTCATCAGCTTGAACGAACTATCGTGTCAGGCTGTGATGAATCAATCAATCAATCATCTCTTCAGCTGTTCTTGCTTTGGACTTTTTTTTTTCCCCGATCATCATCATACAGGTCAACTCGGCTGTAGGCTACGTCAACGGTTTTTGTTTGTGGTTTCACCCTTCGTTCTCATCTCAGTGTGGATCCTGCAGTCTGCCTTGTCAGATCAACATACACTCTTTCTCTTTCCACATTCATTGATTGAAATTTACTGAGAGATTAATCCCGCACGATGATGATGCTATTCTTACCACTTTTTTGGTCAAGTGGGGGATAGATGGGGAATACCCTTCTTTCTAGGCAGCATTCACAAGGGGAGAGGGATAATCCCATCACATTCTAAAGTATTGTATCAATGCATTACTGTGATAGATATAACATTATCTCAAAACATCACAACTACAACACATATCATGAGCACGCATAAGAACCAATCAAATCCCATCAAGGAAAGCTCGTCAACTCAGTCATGCTCCTCCCTGACCTCGGGCGTAGAATGTAAACAACATAAACAGGGTACGTCTGCGTCGCGCGCATAGAGCGCTCCCGGTCCTTTCTCTCATGAATCGCATCGAGTGCCGCGTGCTTAAGGACGTCTTGCACTACATGAGTCACCTCAACAGTGCTTCTCTGCAGCTCATTATCCCGCAGCTTACGAAATCGTGTCTCAACGTCAACGAGGAAGCTGTTGGGAGTTTCGCCATCTCCAACATAAAGTGTGACTGTGCCGATCTGTTCGCGCGTCTGCTCTCTGGCCCCGCGGTAGCGGAAGGGGGTAGATCGAGTGGTGAGGCCGAAGCGTTGAATGGTGCCGTCCTCGGGCAGGAGATGAAGAACGTGGATCATGGCTCCAAAGTTGCCAATGACAAGGAGAACGGAAGGGGGACTAGTGGAGCGGGTGAATATGTTTTTGAGATGGGAAAGCATGGGTATGTGAGTTGAAGCATTTATATGGTCAAGTAACCTGGCGCTCAAGTGCAATGTTCTCTGGGGATGGTGATTGATGAGTATCTATGGAGGTGACTGATCCCTTATGGTAGATGTAGTCCAGTGCACCAGGCGGAGATTCCTCCAGTCAGAGACAAATTTGGAGGAGACAAGGATAAAGTAGCAAGGGAGGGCTCTTCTATATTGGAAAGCTAGGCAGGCAGTTTTTACTGTAGTATACAATAGTAGATTAGGCGACTATACTGAAATCCCGTAAAACTTACTGGAAGAGGAAATTCACAGGCCCTTATTGTACTGGAATAATATAAAATTGACCCCCCAGCATCAGTATAAACCAAACTAAAAGCCATTAAATTGACAGATAGTTTAATAATTGTATTTTCTTTTTCAGAGGCAGACTGTCTTGCCTGAGGAATACTTGCTTTTGCACGTGCCCCGGGAATCAGGCATCGGGAATCTGGACGAGTTTCTGCCTTGAACTTCCTTCTTGGACCGTCAGCTCAGTTTCATCATCATCCTTTTTCGAGTTTCGATCTTCTTTCCTGTTTCACCCTTGTCTGTCTCTGTGTGCGCGTGTGTGTTGTGTCTGATTGAGTCTGCATCCATCTCTCTTGTCCCTGGTCAGCGGCTGAGGATCGTCCTCTGCCGGCATCTTCCCCGGCGCTTGTTGGCGCCCGAGAATGTGTGCAACGACTTTCCCCCTCCAGACCGACTGCGCGCCGCGAGGCTGAATCGCAAGGCCGTCTGCCTTACTCTCTCTCACTCACTCACTCAACTCTCCCTCTCCCTCTCCCACCACAATCCCACACCCCCCTTTCCCTCATTTGCCTCTCTCTCTCTCTCCCTCCCCTTCCTCTGATCGCTCGTGTCCGCCTTTCTGCACGCAAATATTCCATTGCTGTGCCGTGCTGGACGTCATCCACTAACTCGTGCCCGATTCCTTCTTACTACCTCCCCCTCCTGGCCCTCCTCCACGCCCACTTCCCTCCCTGCGCCATTTCTGACTCGCCCTTCCCCGCGTTTCTTCAGCTTCTCCGTTAGCTGTGAGATTGGACCGGACCTTACCTTCCAACTCGACTAAGCCTTGCTCATCGCGTGGGATCTATTTTTGGTTCATCCTCTCGTCATGGCATCCCAGGACAACCTGCCCGACTCGGGGCAGTCGCCCGCTGGGATGAGGAGCCGCAGTATCAGTCCATATAATGATCCCTCCGCCGGTTTGACCTTGGATGTTTCCGTCGCAACCACTACAGCTCCTTATACCTCGACTTCCTACAACCCCTCCAATCCAGGCGCCTCTGATTCCTACAGCTATAACCCCACCGGTTATCTCTCCGCACCCTCCGCCGCGCAGACGCTGGCCCCGACCGATCACACATACTCCCACAGCCTTCAACTGCCACAATCCTTCGATGCTGGGTTGATGCCCCAGCTGGACCAGTCAACGGGCCTGTCCTTGCAGCAACAGCAGCAACAACAACAACAACAACAACAACAACAACAACAAGCGACAGACGAGAATTTCTCTAATCTGTTGAATTCGAACCCCGCAGATTTCGACTTTGCCCTCTATCAGAACCCTAGTCCGAACAGCACGGCCGCTCCGGACTAC